TATTTATATTTATAACTAGAGACATAATATATATATCCAAGATTTGAGATGTAGGAATCACATTAGCATATTGTTTCACTGAGAATTGGTTGCTGCCAAATAGTTGTGCTGAGTTATGTTAAATGATAAACTTATGTATAACCATGGTTGTTATTCGAGTGTAACCACGTTGATAATTTATTTAATCAGCAACGCAATAGCTCATCACAATCATAATTTATGTTATTACCAATATCTGCCCTCCTCCCTCCACTAACGATAAAGCGTTGAGAGTGATCTGACTTCATGAAATTCGAATGCATTTATTGCATTAAAAAAGTACCTTGAGGAGAGTATCTTCAAAAAGAAATTTGATTCATTCTATAACAAAATATTGAACTGAAACTAAAGATAACGATAATAATAAATAACGAAATGCATCCCGTAAATCATTTTACTTACTTAATCATTTAAAAGCATCTCATCTCGTCCGTTTATTTATAAAACCGTTCAGTCCCATTCCCCGATAAAGCATTGACATGCCATATTCTGTAACACTCCTCTTATCATAATCCATTAACCGATTCTTTATTACAATCATCGTTCTAACTGAACACTAATTCGTTATTTTATAGTTAAATTTCAGTGTTGGGTTGTAAAATAATAATACACGATGACTTCATCGTATCAAATAATAATTATAAGTATATTATTAATTGGAACAGTAAATGCATTGAACAACAGTGACAACGAAGCGAGAGATATACTGAATATTTGTGAAATATATCCTCAATCTCCACTATGCATCAATTGTTATTATAACATTATTTATTTATTTATTATATAATTGTTGTTTTGGAATAACTCAATCAATTTATTGCAGTACACTCAGTCGATAAACGAAAATCAGCATACATGAGATTTGGAAGAGCCGATCCAGCTCTCGTTGATAGCACTGACCTTGGGATTGATAAGCGTAAGAGTGCTTATATGAGGTGCGTGGCTCATTTTATTATTAAATAATTCATAACTTGAAATTCGTCAATCAAATTTAATTCAGATTCGGGAAACGGAATGAAGATGATGAGGACTTGGATGTGCAGAAGAGAAAATCGGCGTACATGAGGTAACGCTCTCAACTGATTATTACTTAATATAGGAACAGAAATGGTAAATGAAATAATTGCAGATTCGGTCGTTGATTGGAATGAATAAATGGATGAATATGGAACATGAATACAATTTAATAATATACAGTTGACTTTGTTTGGATAGTAAATCATATTACAGTAATAAACGTTTTGATCAGTTTCTATTGCAGTGCTTTTATTATCATACGATTAGGTTAGTCACTTTTACATGTTGCATTTATTTACTTGCTGCATTAAGTTAGTCACTTGTTATTACATTAATCAGCTGTCCACCATTTCAAGTTGATCGTATATCATTGCTGTGCATGCCCACCGACTGATAGCTAGCGTAATGCTAACACACACGTACCCGTCACGACGCCCATTGACCGTTACTGAAAGCTAGTATAATGCTAAAGCATATGTGCCCGTCACGACGCTTGGTGGACGTAGAGTTTCCACTGGGTTTGGTTCAATCTGAGAGGAATTCACACTAATGCATTCTCCGCATGTAGCAAGAAGGATAAACTTATGAATCTCGCTGGCCATAGAGAGCGACAGTGTCCAGTGCATATGGTTATAATACAAAGGAGTTTGAAGGCAATGAACACCACATTAATAAATAAATGCGTGAATCAATAACAAAATGGCGTGCAACAGAACAGTAATGATAACAATACAAATAATGATCAACCTTCAGTTGAATAAACTAACAATAATAGCGAATGAATATGAATATATTCATTGTGGTGAATGTATTATCGGTGAACGGTCGACTCTGATAAATGATCTTTATCTTTATCGTTTACTCTCTTTTAGTTGTGGTATTCTTTTTCATATTGAATTACTTGAAACAGTAATAGAGGTATTGATAATGAAAATAATATTCAGACAATGAATGGTGGATGTTGTTTGTGGAGGCAAGAAGATAAACCTTTTAACAAGACTTTACAAGTAAACTTTATTTGTTTTACTGGCCGTATCATCATGCAAAGATAATATTATGCTGATTGCAATTATTTAAAGGATGTTAAAAAGGTGAATGAAAATGAAGAGAAAAGGCAGTACAAAGAAGCACAGGAGTATCATCAACGAATTGGAACGAGATTTACGCAGACACATAATTTTAATTAGTATTATTCGTGTATGATTTGTTGATGTTGGGCGATTAACAAATGTAATTGGATTATTGCTGAAAAAGCATCTGATCGAGTGGGGTGATGTGATATTAATTGAGAGAGTGCTTTTTTGGACGAGCTTTTCAAGTGTGCACGTAAACGATTCCTAGATTTAAGGTATATGGCCTTCAAGCAAACTGCATTGTGGTTTACTTATGCTCACGTTGTTGATTATATCTGCACGCATCCCATGTTGCTGTTTGATCGGCTAGATTGTTGGCTTGAACTTTGGTGCTGGAGAGCTTTTGTGCAACGTTTTTGAAGTGTTTGACGATACTGACCTTGGGGTGTGGGTGAGTATGTGTCTATGGTTGGCTTCTGATATGATCTCGTTAGAAACGTGTTATTTTCAAAGCAGTTCGACAAGGGCAGCCAGCCACCCCTTGGAAGTTTGCTTACTTGGGACTTTGTAGCTGTCATCCTTCTTTATTCTCCTTCTTTATCTGATTCTGATTTCGATGTCACAAAGCTTATCTTTCTAATCTCTGTGAAACATCCAGTGATAATCATGCTAGTTATCGTGGGGATATTTCTTCAAATTTGATAAAACAATATTGATGATGTATTTGTTGTTTTGGGTGCAAAAGATATTGTGCTGATTAGAGGTAAATCACTCGTTCATTTATAACCATCATCATCAAGAAGTATTATGACACACAGTTTATAGTATACTAGTGGATTATGACAAGTTGTAACCAACACACGTTTCATTATGATACGCAACAGTGTCAATAACGTGTCTGTTTTTTCATTTAATAATCATTATGCGGACGAAGAGCCATTGCATTTCTCTTTTTCATTTTTATGGTCGAAATTGAACGTAAATTCGGAAGCACCATCGTCATCAAGAGAAGAAGCATTATTGATGAGGACGCGACGGGGTGAGTGCAGTTCGAATGTTTGGAATGAATCACGGAGTTCATCGAGTTCTGGTGATGTCAGCTAAATGAAGAGTGTTATGACAGATGACCACCTCAACGAATGCACCCACCTCTGAATGTTTCAGCACACGATGAGAGTGCTCCTCCAGCTTTTCACTACTATGATCGCTCTTAATTCCCAATAACAAATCACTCAACTTCGCACAAATCTCGTTGAAAAACACATCGGATAAAGTCGCTTGTTCATCGATTATACGCAGAACGACCTCTTCACTTATAGTGTCGAAGAATCGATAAGCTAAAATGACAAGATGATGAGTGCTCAGTAATAATGGAAACAACGATTAACTCACAGTGAGCAGTCAAACAACCAGCCAATTCCAAAGCAGCTGCATTGAAGCTCACTGATGGTTTTGCACCTGAAAGCACATCACCTTTATGAAGTAAGTCATCTTTATGACGTCGAATCGAATACAATAATAATAATCGAACCGGCAATCGAGACCCTTGGAAATATATAAGCCGTGACCAATGAAGCGCATGGCTGTGTTTGCTCAACACACAGCTCGCCATCGGTGCGCAACGTGTGAGCTCGAGTGAAGAATATATTGAATGCGACCTCTTTCGAATTCAGGTATTGTACAGTCTTTGTTATGTTCCTTTATTTATGGTTCATTAATTAATCATATTGTGAGTAATGACTAAGAAAATAAATATGGCAAATACCAGATGAACTTATCGAAGTGATCTTCTGATGGCAGTTGAAATATGATGCTCGATATGAACCAGCTCGGTCTTCTGATCACATACAAATCACCTTTCATATGCTCACACCTCTGCACATAGCATAGCATTAGTAATAATAATGCTATGAACAATAATAATGATAAGAGTAAAAAAGAATAACCCGATTGATAATATCCGAGCTGTAAGGCCACGTGAGAGCGTGTAGGTGCAGATGGTTCACAGAGGCATTCGCCAACAGACTGTTGAATAAGATGTGGAACGACTCGTCGTCATAGAGCAACATGGCGTCTGTTGCTATTCGGATGGCCATCTCGTTGCACACCTTTAATTGTTTAATTGTTACGAGACAATGACAGCAGTTGCTGGGAATATTACCTGTGGCAATGACTGGCTTATGGCTGGTATTATTAGGGAGTGACCCCTTTCCAACGGCGAATTATTTATCGCGATTACATGACGATCGAGACGATCCACACTGATCGGCTTGTCTTTACATCGCATGTACAACATCACCTTTACTTATCATCATTAGAGCTTTACTAATATTGTCGCGATTATAACGAATCTATTTAAATGAACCTCATTCTGTTTGAGTTTATTAAAATTCCATCTCAGTGCGTTAAACGGCTCATTAACAGAATGAAAACGCATTGGTTTACGTCTCAGTTGGCCACGTTCGATATTCAACTATAATTATTAATAATCAATACATACTAATAATAATAATAATAATAATAATAATAATAAAGATGATAATAATAAATACCTGAATTGATAAATTGAAATCTCCAGGAATAAGTTTATACATTGAATTAAGTTCATAATTGAAAACATTCTCCTTCTTCGCGCATTCCCATCGAAACATGAATAGATCTTTGAACTAAATAAAACCATCTCTTATTCTGTATTAATCACGTCTGAATCCCATCTCTAATAATCATAATAATAACCTTCTGGTGTTGTTCTGATTTCTTGTTATCATCATTCAGATCATAGATAAAATCTGATGTTGAATAATAAAAAACAGGTGCTGAGGATGTACATTCCAGATCAACTGGCAACTGAAATTGTTATTATTTCAATTACACTTTCATACAGCATAATCACAGTAAACAAACCTGGACTGATGATAATGAACGTTGAGCGCGGGGTGTTGAGCCAAGCATTACTATTTTGCGCATTTTTAATCTATATATGAGTTATTTATTATCTAAATTATACGTAAAGTTAACATATTGAATGATCAAGCGAAACGCAGCGTAACGTAGTGATGAGTGAATTGAAGTGTTACACAATATTATTACATTATCTCATAATACGTATCGATAACAACACTAATAACCAATTAATCGATTAATTAATTGCAATTATTTGATGAGACACCTCCGAATAAACTTCGTCAATCGATATTTCATATA